CGGGCCTCTGGGTCACTACTGGAGACTCTGGGACACTACTGGAGCCTCTGGGTCACTACTGGAGCCTCTGGGTCACTACTGGGGCCTCTGGGACACTACTGGAGCCTCTGGGACACTACTGGGGCCTCTGGGTCACTACTGGAGCCTCTGGGTCACTACTGGAGCCTCTGGGACACTACTGGAGCCTCTGGGTCACTACTGGAGCCTCTGGGACACTACTGGAGCCTCTGGGTCACTACTGGGGCCTCTGGGACACTACTGGAGCCTCTGGGACACTACTGGAGCCTCTGGGTCACTACTGGAGCCTCTGGGTCACTACTGGAGCCTCTGGGACACTACTGGAGCCTCTGGGACACTACTGGAGCCTCTGGGACACTACTGGAGCCTCTGGGTCACTACTGGAGCCTCTGGGTCACTACTGGGGCCTCTGGGACACTACTGGAGCCTCTGGGACACTACTGGGGCCTCTGGGACACTACTGGAGCCTCTGGGACACTACTGGAGCCTCTGGGACACTACTGGGGCCTCTGGGACACTACTGGAGCCTCTGGGTCACTACTGGAGCCTCTGGGTCACTACTGGAGCCTCTGGGTCACTACTGGAGCCTCTGGGACACTACTGGAGCCTCTGGGACACTACTGGAGCCTCTGGGACACTACTGGAGCCTCTGGGACACTACTGGAGCCTCTGGGACACACTACTGGAGCCTCTGGGACACTACTGGAGCCTCTGGGTCACTACTGGAGCCTCTGGGACACTACTGGAGCCTCTGGTCACTACTGGACTGGGGAGCCTCTGGGACACTACTGGAGCCTCTGGGACACTACTGGAGCCTCTGGGACACTACTGGAGCCTCTGGGACACTACTGGAGCCTCTGGGACACTACTGGAGCCTCTGGGACACTACTGGAGCCTCTGGGACACTACTGGAGCCTCTGGGTCACTACTGGAGCCTCTGGGACACTACTGGAGCCTCTGGGACACTACTGGGAGCCTCTGGGCCTCACTACTGGAGCCTCTGGGACACACTACTGGTCACTACTGGAGCCTCTGGGACACTACTGGAGCCTCTGGGACACTACTGGAGCCTCTGGGTCACTACTGGAGCCTCTGGGACACTACTGCCTCTGGGTCACTACTGGAGCCTCTGGGTCACTACTGGAGCCTCTGGGTCACTACTGGAGCCTCTGGGACACTACTGGAGCCTCTGGGACACTACTGGAGCCTCTGGGTCACTACTGGAGCCTCTGGGTCACTACTGGAGCCTCTGGGTCACTACTGGAGCCTCTGGGTCACTACTGGAGCCTCTGGGTCACTACTGGAGCCTCTGGGACACTACTGGAGCCTCTGGGTCACTACTGGAGCCTCTGGGTCACTACTGGAGCCTCTGGGTCACTACTGGAGCCTCTGGGACACTACTGGAGCCTCTGGGACACTACTGGAGCCTCTGGGACACTACTGGAGCCTCTGGGACACTACTGGAGCCTCTGGGTCACTACTGGAGCCTCTGGGTCACTACTGGAGCCTCTGGGACACTACTGGAGCCTCTGGGTCACTACTGGAGCAGCTGTGTTTTTATATAAACGACAAACAGAAGAGACACGTTGGCACTCGCTAAGCGTTAGTGGTGCCAGCGTTGGTGTGTGGGTGGGTGTAATCACCTAGTTGTATTCACCTAGTTGTTCTTGAGGGGGTTGAGCTCTGCTCTTTCGGCCCGCCTCTCAACTGTTAATTAATCAACTGTTACTACTATTTTTTTTTTTTTGCACACACACAGGAAGCAGCTCCGTAACAGCTGTCTAACTCCCAGGTACCTATTTACTGCTAGGTAACAGGGGCATCAGGGTTGAAAGAAACTTTGCCCATTTGTTTCTGCCTGGTCCGGGAATCGAATTCGGGCCACAGAATTACGAGTCCTTCGCGCTGTCCACTCAGCTACCAGACCCCCCAGTGTGTGTGTGTGTGTGTGTGTATGTATGTGTGTGTGCGTTTTGGCTATTTGTTCAGCCATGTTGTTGCTATTCCTTGCTTAAGATTCCTTCCTGGGGCTGTGTGTGGTGTGCCTGCCTAGTTGTGCTTTCCTGGACGGAGCTCAAGCTCCTCAGCCCCACCTCTTTCTTATCTGTTTGTTATCAGTTGCAGCCAATTCTCCATCTTGTTATATTCATAAACATATAACTAGAGTCAGACTCTTATAGAGTTATATCCACTTGTTTACCCCTCACGTTCCTTGTTTACTTCAAGTATACTACATATGTGGGAGCGACTCGTGTGTTTGTAAACACAAACAGCTGTTCCTCTCAACGGTTCACACTATCTACTATCTTAATCTGTTCTATCAGGTCCTGGTCTTCCGGTGTCTTCGTTCCGCGTCCATTACATTTGCTGGAACTGAACTCTAGAAGCCATCAAGTTATACATTCTTACACAGCTCCGCAATCACATTTCAGTGCCAAACATTCTTGTTTGGCACTGCCATTGGGAGGCACCTCAGGCACTCTCAACCCGGGGGCCAGTTTTCATCCTTTGAGATATGAAGTGATTGCCTTTGTTCTATACACACGAAAGACGGTGTGTCGGTCTCTGGCACACCTGAAACAGATGCGCGTGTCAGGTGTGTGGGGGCTGAGAGCACAGGTGTGTGTTAGGTGTGTGGGGGCTTAGTACACAGGTGTGTAGGGGGTAGCGGACATCACACACACACATATATGGAATTTTGAGGCGTACTGGGGGGGGGGCGAGTCTGTACACACACATGTGACTCAGGCTTGGATACGAATGCTACTGGGAATACGGAACAGGTGTTAAGGAACACATGAAGAAGTGTAAAGTATGTGGTAAGTTAAGGCTTGGTCGAGGACCGGGCCGCGGGGACGTTGAGACCCGAAATCCTCGCAAGGTAAACTCACACACCCTCATCCATTACGTCATTAGGCGCCTGTTGATTGATGTGTTGATTGATGATTGATATATATATATATATATATATATATATATATTATATATATATATATATATACACAGAGACAAGGGTCTGTTCTCGAACACATAATCTAGATGTGGCATAACAGAAACGACACTGAAAATGATCTGGAGAAAATATAAAAATTTTGCGTATAAGAGAGATTGAGAGAGAGAGAGAGAGAGAGAGAGAGAGAGAGAGAGAGAGAGAGAGAGAGAGAGAGAGAGAGAGAGAGAGAGAGAAGCAAGGCCATGAAGGATGATTGACAGGAGGGCGGTGAGGGGAGAGAGAGTGATGAATGGACGGTAATGATAGACAGATTGTAGATTTGTTTGATGAATGACACAGTCCATGTAGGCCGGGGCGAGGGAGCTTAGTGCTTACCTTACCCAACTAACCTTACCTTACCTTGGGGAGAGCGCGGCCTAGCTGTTTACAGCTTCCCTACCTGGTGTATATAGTCCTTTGGGCAGGAGGCTTGGGTCAAGGCACTAGGAGACACTGCTGAACTCTGCATGCTAAACACGCTTGACTATGAAGCACTCGGCACCAGTGTTGCATCTATCCTCACCTGTTATGAACACGTAATCAGCTCAAAGAGGGCGGTCAAGACCTCCTTCCCGGACCTGAGATGCGGAAGCTGTGTTAACAGACATTAGCGTCAGGTCTGCAGTCGTCTTGTCGAGTTTGATCATTGTTTACCTGGAGTAACTTGTGATCTCAATAATCACTGGCCGTTGTCAACACCTTGTGTTCTCTATAACAGCCGTTCTTCAAGAGGAACGCGTATCAATCACCCTCTAACAGCCTATTCATATACTTGACCCATTGGAAGACCTGGCTAACATCTTTTTTTGAGAGGGGGATTACCTGTGACGGATAGGGGATGATGGTTTTTTAGGATTTCAGGATTTTTAAGGATTTTTTTATGGTTTTTAAGGATTTCAGGATTTTTAAGGATTTTTTTTATGGTTTTTAAGGATTTCAGGATTTTTAAGGATTTTTTATGGTTTTTAAGGATTTCAAGATTTTTAAGGATTTTTTTTGGTTTTTAAGGATTTCAGTGAAATCCACAACAGCATCCTTACACCCAACACCACACTTACCCCCCCCTACAACACTACCCCCCCCCCCCCCCCCCACACACACCACACATAAGCCTAGCCTCTGTGTCAACAAAGCCATTAAGGATCCCTCCCCCCCCTCCGACTATCCTTTTAACCACTTTTTTTTATGTCTGAACTCATTAAAATGGGCTTTGATCTATATTTTTTAATGCAGGATGGACGCGGTCGGCTGTACACAGGCAGGCAGGTCTTGACGTGCACAGTAATTTCTTTGGGTCTAAACATTGACTCGCATATCTTTCTCACGTTACGTGTACCATTTGAGTTGATTTTAAGAAATTAATCCCCGCATCTTACTTTCCTTTTTTAAGAAAGTACAAAGGTGAATTTGAAGAGACCACGCCCTGAAGGTGAGAGATAGTGAGACAGATAAGGAGGGTGAGAGAGTGGTTCATTCTGACTCCCACTGGACGAGAGAGAGAGAGAGACTTTCACTCCCTGACTGGACAAAGGAGAGAGAGAGAGAGAGAGAGAGAGAGAGAGAGAGAGAGAGAGAGAGAGAGAGAGAGAGAGAGAGAGAGAGAGAGAGGCTCTCACTCCCTAGCTAGAGAAGGAAGAGAAATCTCCTTTGATCCATGGACCTGAGAAGAGGCAAGAACGTTAAGGAGTCTGGCCAGAGGTTTACAGGAAGTGTGTTCCGGGGGAGGGAAGGAGGTAGAAAGAGGATGGATAGGAAGAGGGATGGATAGGAAGAAGGGACGGAGGGAATGAGGGATAGAGAGGGTTGATGGGAGGGACGATTGAATGGAAAAGAAAAAAAAAGACCAATTCTACTAGTATCAAAAAAGATATGAGATATCTATATCAAGACCTACTACCTCCTCCCCCCCCTTCCCCAAGGTCTCCATACACAGCCAGGACCAGCGAACAAGTACTAATTATCCTTAACAACAACCCAATCCAACATACCGATGGATACTGACACTCAAACCAGTACCTCAAACCAGTACCACAAACCAGTACATCAAACCAGTACCACAAACCAATACCTCAAACCAATACCTCAAATCAGTACCTCAAACCAGTACCTCAAATCAGTACCTCAAACCAGTACCTCAAATCAGTACCTCAAATCAGTACCTCAAATCAGTACCTCAAACCAGTACCTCAAACCAATACCTCAAATCAGTACCTCAAACCAGTACCTCAAATCAGTACCTCAAACTAATACCTCAAACCAATACCACAAACCAATACCTCAAACCAATACCACAAACCAGTACCTCAAACCAATACCTCAAACCAGTACCTCAAACCAGTACCTCAAACCAATACCTCAAACCAGTACCTCAAACCAGTACCTCAAACCAGTACCTCAAACCAATACCTCAAACCAGTACCTCAAACCAATACCACAAACCAATACCACAAACCAGTACCTCAAACCAATACCTCAAACCAATACCACAAACCAGTACCTCAAACCAATACCACAAACCAATACCACAAACCAGTACCTCAAACCAATACCTCAAACCAATACCTCAAACCAATACCACAAACCAATACCACAAACCAGTACCTCAAACCAATACCTCAAACCAATACCACAAACCAGTACCTCAAACCAATACCTCAAACCAATACCACAAACCAGTACCTCAAACCAATACCTCAAACCAATACCTCAAACCAATACCACAAACCAATACCACAAACCAGTACCTCAATATACCTAAAAGAAAAGTAATCTGGAAGGAAAACATGCTCCCCCATATGACCAAACAATTCAGGAGTACCACGAAGCCCTGAGCTACTGAGCATCAGCATCAGAAACTACTGAGCATCAGGCTACAACAGCAAGCCACCAGAGTGTTTAAAGACGACCGAAACGCTAGAAGACCCCAAGACCAGAAGAACCATGAACAAATCTGTGTGTGTGTGTGTGTGTGTGTGTGTGTGTGTGTGTGTGTGTGTGTGTGTGTGTATACAGAAAGACTATTCCAAGATGGGTTGGCCAACACCCTGAGCTGGTGGCCCAAGAGCTTGGATCTACTCATCCCCCACAAATACTTAATTCCAAGACGAAATACTGACTAGAAAAACCCACAAGAGGGGTAAAAAAATGATTCAGAAACATATAAAAACATGTACACAAGCGCCCGAGAGAGCATGCATGATGAATACTACAACATATTCATCTATTTTACCTCCTTTTACCTTTACCTTTTTTTACCCATCATACCCTTTCATCCGCACAAAAAAAATATTCTTCTCTCAGCACACTCTCTCTTGAATTTACGTACGAAGTCTTCTCCTTTCTTCGGCGTTCTTGGGCACTAAAGTTGAAACTTAGGAGATTTACTTTTATCTTTTAGTTAAATTTGTAATTTGAGACTTCAGTGTATAAATGTTATTAAGGGATATTGAACAACGTGATTTCAGAAAACACGGGGAGTGCAAGAGGCTTTAGACATGCCACAGTGATGGTCTGATAAGTGGCTACTAGATTTTAACCTGGGCAAATGCAATACTATTGGGTAAGATTATGGGGAATGGAGACAACTCACAACCGAATGGTCTCCCTCGGACTTGATTCCGGCGAAGGACGAGACGTTCGGCCCAACTGTTGTGGATGCACCTCGATAAACCTTGCTGTAGCGGACAGTGAGCAACCATATCCTCCAGCATGGCGCCAGAAGCACACGTTAGGAAAGTAATGTCCGGCAGCCTTTGTGAACCCTGGCACAGTAGCCTTCACGACATTATATACAACCTACGTAATACGCTGCCTGCTGTGCAGCGCCGGCATGCATCCGCCACCGAACACGCACAAAAGAACTATACAAACTTAAAATTATATACAATTCTCGTTCCTGACCCGAAAAGAATTATGTTGAAAGTCTGAGGGAATAGATAATATGGGTATTGTGTGTTAAAAATCTAGAGGAATGTATAAAACGGGAGAGGAGAGTAAGTGGAAGGGGGTATGACCACTCTCTCTCCCACATACTCTCCCTAGGGAGACCAACCACTTGGGCTGGACGGTAGAGCGACGGTCTCGATTCATGCAGGCTAGCGTTCAATCTCCGACCGTCCAAGTGGTTAGGCATCATTCCTTTCCCCCGGCGTCCCATCCCAAATCCTCATCCTGACCCCTTCCAAGTGCTATATAGTCGAAATGGCTTGGCACTTTCCCCCCCTGATAGTTCCCTCGCCTTCTCCCTCGGGCAGCGGAGGCAACAGCAGGATCCTGACGCCTCTGCCTCTCTTCCCGCCAAAACATGGCGAAGTGTCACCCTCCTCGCTGCCAGACAGCTCCTCGCAAGGAGTGAGGGATGGAGGAGAGGAGGAAATAAAGAAATAATACTTTCAGGGAAGGAAACATACAGAGGTTCTGGTGTGTCACTCACGCTTCATAACGAGATTTCCTTCTCTTGTCATTGTCAGTCTTCCTCGGAGCTCAGCGGAGCGAGAGGACTCCAAGAACTCGAAGGAAAATGAAGAATAGGAGGAACTCAATTTCCCGCTTGAAAACAATGAGAGATCTGCTAGTAATTTCATCTTACAATCTGAGGAAATGTATTCAAAGCTTTATGTCTTATTGAAATGTCTCTACGAATTTGTTTAAACCCAACTTTTCGATGAGGCTATTTGTCTCAGTACATCTTGACATGCCTCTTGGTCTAAAAGTTATCCCTCTGGAGACAGCGCTGATCGTCTAATGAGATAATATTCCTGTGTGCAGACCTGGGATCCAATCCTCCTATGTGGTTCCTGTCTTATTATTTGTTGACAAAGGATGAAGACTGCTGTTGTATGGATTTTAGGCGTTCTCAAAATTTTTAGCGTTTTATTGAATAGATTCTTGTTGGGTAGGTTCTCTGTACGTTCTCACGTTCTCCAGGTCAGTAACTTTACCTCGTCTCTCTCTCTCTCTCTCTCTCTCTCTCTCTCTCTCTCTCTCTCTCTCTCTCTCTCTCTCTCTCTCTCTCTCTCTCTCTCTCTTCCTCTCTCTCTCTCTTCCCTTTTCACTCCATCTATACAACTCCACTTTCGCTATCGATTTCATCACGTGTTTCACCAAACCAGTATTACCTCGGCTTGATTAATTAAGAGAATACTTTACGTCAGATAACCTGATATCTTTTAATTAAAACTCGACCACCCAAAAAATAATAAACCAATCTTATTGAGAGGGGGAAAAAAAGAGAGTTAAATACAGAGAAAGTAATGAATCTTTTATTCCCGGGAGATTACTAAAGCGAAGTAGATGTAGAGAGGGAACAAAGAAACGCCGGGGTTAAGGTAGAATACGATGAATATTGAATCAAACAAACAGCAAAATGAGCGCTTGATTAACGCTCCTTGCGAAGAAACTTAAATTAAACAAATGCTTAAGTCAAACACCTGGAATTAACAACTGTAGTCGTGCACATATTGGGAATACAACACCTTCCATTCATCACACATCTCGACAGCTGTCAGGCAAGAGCTATCATACAACACCTGCCATACAAAAGACTAGCATTAAAACACATGTTTTAGCTGCTAGCACATGTTCTCTGCTAGCAGCTAAAACCCACACATACTTTACCGATTGAGGCTTACCTGTTCCCCACTTCGAGAGTTGTTCTATTACTGCAGGCCATCTGGGGGCCTTGGTATTTTGGGGGGGATAAGGTGATCAGTAAGGCTGTTGCTGGCAGCAACCCGACTCATCCCGTACTTTCTACATTCAAATATTGAAAATTTATTTTTTTTTTCTGAAATATTTCTTGTACGTAGCACAAAAAACCGCATTATAACTTTAGTGTGACTATGGGAAACAAAAGTAAAGTCAAATGCCAAACTTATAAAAGACAATACCTAACACCACAACTCTTAATGAGCCTTAATGAGCAAGTGACCAAGAGCTGGAGCTCACCCCAGCAGAGCGTCTGGGCCGTCTACCTAAACCAAAGATTGTTTCCTCCAAGCAGTGCCGGACCAACCGGGCTGTGGTGGGTATGTGGGCCTGCGGGCCGCTCCAAGCAACAGCCTGGTGGACCAAACTCTCACAAGTCGAGCCTGGCCTCGGGCCGGGCTTGGGCAGTAGAAGAACTCCCAGAACCCCATCAACCAGGTATCAACCAACCAGGTGGCGTGATGGTTAAAGCTATCGTGTCGGAGTTGTTGTTGTTGTTAAAGATTCGCTACCTGGAACAGAAAGTTCTAAGTAGCACGGGCTATGGTGAGCCCGTGTCGGTGGTTAAACAATGTCTCAGCAAGGTGCAGGAATACCACAAACGTATGAACATAAGTATGAACACAAGCCTACGGAACAGAAGAAACAGGGTGGATATGTTCACAAGATATAAGGTACAAATGGGAATAGACAAGGTGGGTAGTGACAGCTTCTTTAAATTGAGAGAGAATGTTGTTATAAGATTCGCTACTTGGAACAAAAGGTTCCAAGTAGCACGGGCTAAGGTGAGCCCGTAGTTTGAGAGAAGCTGGAAACGCAAGTGACCCAAAGGAAGGGTAATCAACAAGTGGGATACACTGAAGGAAGAAGTTGTAGAAGCCACCTCCATCTACACCTTTAAGGCAAGATTCAACAAAAAAATTCGAACGTCAGATAAATAAAAAAAAAGCAATAGAAAGAACAAGACTAGTAGGCGGGGCCACAGAGCTAGACCTTACCTCCCCGTAGACACTGATAGGGACGTGCTCATAGGTAAGCACACACACATGAGGGACAGGGGGGGACATGATCACCACATTCAAGATTCTGAAGGGAATTGATAGGGTAGATAAAGACAGGCTATTTAACACAAGGGGCACACGCCCAAGGGGACACAGGTGGAAACTGAGCGCCCAAATGAGCCACAGAGATATTAGAAAGAACTTTTTTAGTGTCAGAGTGGTTGACAAATGGAATGCATTAGGAAGTGATGTGGTGGAGGCTGACTCCATACACAGTTTCAAGTGTAGATATGATAGAGCCCAATAGGCTCAGGAACCTGTACACCTGTTGATTGACAGTTGAGAGGCGGGACCAAAGAGCCAGAGCTCAACCCCCGCAAACACAACTAGGTGAGTACACACGCAAGCAGGCACACACACACGCCAGCAGGCACACACACACGCAAGCAGGCACACACACACGACAGCAGGCACACACACACACAGCACACACCACGCAGGACACATTCACACACTCCCCCAGAGGTAAAGAACAGTAAGCACTCGCGCCAATTTTCCACCACACCCATTGCAGTATTACCAGACTCGCAGGAGGCTGCACAACACTGTTGCCACTCATATACGCAAGAAGAAGAGACACTCAAACGAAAAAGACGTCAGTGCACACAACAGTACACAGTAAGTGTGCGCACACAATGGAGGAACACAGTAATGTGTGTGCGCACACAAGTGGAGTGGAAACCCAGTAATGTGTGTGTGTGTGTGTGCACACAATGAGTAACACAGTAAGTGTGTGTGTGTTGCGCACACATGGAGTGGCAGTAATGTGTCTGTGTGTGCGACAAGTGGAGTGGAACACAGTAAGTGTGTGTGTGCGCACACAATAGATGGAACACATTGTGTGTGGTGTTGTGAAGTGGATGAGAACACAGTAATTGTCAATTACGACACAAGTAGACACGTCATGTGTGTGTGTGTGTGCGCACACAAGTGGAGTGGAACACAGTAAGTGTGTGTGTGTGTGTGTGCGCACACAAGTGGAGTGGAACAC